CAAATTTTAGTTTGGAGGTACCTGCTTCTTGTTGAACCTTTAACAGCTGTCTTTTGATTTTTTGTAAAGTATTATTAACATCTGCTTCTGCAAATTTTCTCACCCTTCTTATAAAAGTTTATAAATAGATGAAATAAAGCTAAAAACGAGTTAAAATATAAATTTACTCATACGAATTTTACTGCATAGATTGATGCACTAGATATGGTGGAGCAATTCGTGATTGAGCACCAAGTTATTTTTGGAGTTTTGGACTCCTCTCAAATTTATTTATAGTTTAAATTAATCTAAAAAAATGTGTAAGAAAAAGTTGGTCTCATGATTTTATCTTTCTCGCAATTAAGATCTGTCATCATTAGTTGTTGAAAATGGAGCACATCATTTTAATTAATAAGTTGAGATTAGTTTCAGACTGTTTCAAGGGTATCATTTACTTCTCTTAAATCCAACTGTAAAAGTAAAACCAGTAAAATTAAGGAGTTAGTCGGTGCTACATTATATCTGCGTGATTATGACCACTACGATGTTATCTTGAAAGTAGGACAAAAAATTGCTTAAAAAGTCCATAACCTAAATAGTTTTTGGACATTACAGCAGTCGAAGTTGCTGTAAATTCATCAAGGAGAGAACAAGAGTTGCTAAAAAGGTCATAATTAAACATACAATTACGGGTCAGAATTTGTCCAAAAGTAAAACTTTAATTCCCTCAAAAGTCTTCAGCCTCATCGCACTGGTGCCTCCAATGACGTTGAGATTAAAAATCCTGTCAGGGAAAAGTTTAAAATGTTTCGCAACTTTGTAAAGTTTCTCAAAAAATTGATTTACGTTAAGTTTATTCAACGGCATATTTACAAAGGAAATCTTATATCGTACCAAATACGCCATCTTTTTACTTGCTATTGCTGCTCTCGATATATTTAGAAATTAAGTAAAGTTGAAGAAAATTCAATGCCAGCTTTTAGATATCAATATATGTTCAAAATTTAGATCAAAAAATTTTTTAAATATGCTTTAATACATATTTTAAATCTGTTGAAAATAACTTATTCGACTGTAAACCAAGTTTAAGAGGACGTTACATACCACATCAATACAAAATTAGACAACACACATTGCAGAACCTAAGATTACACTAAAACAACCTAAGACTAATGTTACGGTAAAGACTACACGATTTTGTCCGATGTTGAACAACAATATGTGTTGTCCAATTTTATATTGAGGGTGTATCGTCTCGGCCGCACATACTAAGCATCGGCTTAATATGTCTAAATCGTCAATTCTTTTCTCTAAGGTTATCACAGGTACGTTGGCTGCTGAGGAGCCACAATATATGTTACTTTGTTATGGCTTAATATAATATCAAGTGCAATGCTTAGGCCGCAAGTGACCTCGTCTAATAATGTGGTGAAGATTACACGATTTCGCCTTGTCTTTGTTGTCTTTCCATATGACACACAAAACTTGATTTTGTTGGTCAAATCTATAACCTTTGTCCATTTTTTTCATTGTTTTTGAGTTCATCGGTAGGCATTTTTGTATTCTATTTTCTCGTACTGTTTTTATAAGGTTTAGAACCACTTTCGCTCCAAGTGTACACATCAAACCCATAGCAATACCCAGAAGAGCTAATTATCATCCAGTTTTTGTATCCAAATCTTACAGGTTTACATCTTATAACTTGTTTTGCAGGATTGTGACCAAAATATTTGACCATAGATTCATCTATTGATATCTGTTTATGGAAGCAACCCCACTTGCAAAAATTTTCAATAATTTTATTTATGAATGGTCGAATTTTTTACAAACAATCTTGGGAGCTTCCTATTTGAGCATTGTCTGCTAAATGTAAAAATTCTTTTATTTGAAGATATATGTCTTTGGACATAGCATTACAGACAAAGTACACTCCCAAGTCTTCATCTGTTGACCACAAAAATTAACAAAAATTACCGCTCTTGAGGTAATTTTTGATATCCTGTGAACAGCAAAATTGCTATAAATGTTCGCATTTCATGCGGTTGTATGACAATCTTGTGATCATTCTTTTGTTTGGCATATATAACTGTCTTTTCACATAGATACGTAATAATTTCGTCCGTTAGAAATGTTTCAAAAATCTGGCGAGGTAATAAATGTTTCAAAGCGGTTTGTATTTTCCGTATTTGAGGACATATTATCAATGAAAATTGATAATATGTCCTCAAATGGAGTTAACTATGAGAGCTTTTTGTTGCAGAAACATTGGGTACGTTCAGCAGGTATCAACAGTTGTGAAATCAGTCAGCTAGTTCTATGACCTTTAATACAGCGGAACGAAATCGGCTGAACAAGCAATTGAGAATTAGCGGTTCTGCATAACCTAAAACTATGGCCAACAATAATATTTTTGAAAATGTTGTGTTATTACAAGAGATAGTGGATGATGATCTTGATTTTAAGGCTCATTTCATTTTATACAGTTCTGTCAATTTTCAAAATTAAAGGGGAGAAACAAAAAATGTTAATCCTAACCAAACAAGATTTCAAATCTAGATTGGAATTAAAGCAGTTCATCAATTCTTTAAATCAATACTAAGGAGAGGTGGTCTTAATCTGCAGTCAAAAATATTAATCATGGGCAGTTGCTCTAGAATGTGGTTTAAAGATTTTGTCATCGAACACAACTTATTGCACAATACTACAGCAGAAAATTACTCATTCCATCGAATTTGCTACTCAATAAAACCCAACTTGGGTTGTTTGTATATTCATATAAATAAATTGTGTTAATCTCATTTCATCTATGCATTACGAGTCGATAAAATACTCCATTTATAGAAATGATTAGTCCGGTATACCCTTCGGCCGGATATCCGGTTATCCGGCATATCTATCCGGCCATTATGGTTATAATTTCTGGTGCATTTGTGAAGTGATACCATTAATATTGCCATATTATTGCGATATTTGAATAAAAATGAAATTAGTAAGAAAGCTGATAAGATATGTCAACTTATTTGGATCCAAGATACAAAATGAACTTTATTGATGCTAATTTAACTAACGAAGCAACTCTAAAAAGAGGATACTTTAATCAATAATTAGTGATATTTCCACAAGGATCCTTCAAGAAATTAATTTTATAGCGAATTTTGAAAATTATCGATGAAAATTGCAATATCGAAAATTTGATCAAAACTTCAAATATTGTTTTCTCAAAAACTAATAGTTATTTTTCAAAACGTGTTGGTTCATTGGAAAGAGGTCACTCTTATTAACACTTTGGGAAATTTTCATACTTATATTTCAAGAAGTGGATTTGATACGAATTTGTAAAATTTAATCGGCGAAAATTGCAAAATTCGAAAAAATTGTCGATTATTTCAAAAATTTATTTCTCCAGAACTAAAAGTGATTTTTCAAAACGGCTTTTTGCGCTAAAAAGAGGATACTTTAATTAATAATTGGTGATATTTCCATAAGGATCCTTCAAGAAATTAATTGTATAGCGAATTTTGAAAATTATTGCAACATCGAAAATTTTATCAAAACTTCAAATATTGTTTTCTCAAAAACTAAAAGTTATTTTTCAAAACATGTTAGTTCATTGGAAAGAGGACACTCTTATTAACACTTTGGGAAATTTTCATACTCATATTCCAAGAAGTGGATTTTATACGAATTTTTAAAACTTAATGGACGAAAATTACAAAATTCGAAAAAATTGTCGATTATTTCAAAAATTTATTTCTCAAGAACTAAAAGTGACTTTTCAAAACGGCTTGTTGCATTAAGAAGAAGGTACTTTAATTAATAATGGAAAGTGATAACAGCGACAGTTCTGTTAGTAATGAATGTGATGATGAATTACAAGTGAAAAGAAGGAAACTAGACGAAACTGCAACAAGATATTTTTACAATGAGGTTGATAATGACAAAACTGATATAAATAAAGTTGCATTCAATGGAAAAAGTCCTATTGGGGTTGAACTTGATTATTATCTGCAGTGTCCAACATCTAAAAGAGATACTAATTCCTGTGAATGGTGGAGAATATTTGGTAACTATCCGGTATTCGGCCGGATTTAAAAAAATGGTCGGATAGGCCGGATATCCGTTCCACCACTAGAAATGATAAATTTAAATGAAATATACTGCAATTGCCTTTTTTAAAAGAGCAGCTTAATTAAAACGCAAAATACTTTGTGTGTGTTGAGAAGAAGCCTGTTTGCAATTAATGTCCAAACAAAATGCAGTTTTTTTAGTGTAATAAGTTTTATGGGATTTTTGTTATTGGCGATCAATTAACTTGTTGATGTAAATATGAGAACTTAAATATCGGTATTTATCAAGTCGGTATTAAACCAATTTGATTTGTTATTTGATAAATAACTGGAAAATTATTATTGGGTAGGTTTTATTGATATTTCAAACGAAGTTGAATCGTCTATTATAATCACACAATATGCCACATACGAAATTTTTAGCAAACAACTCTCAAATCTTGTTCAAATTTTAATAAAGATACCTGTTTCTTCTAAGACCTTCAACACACAGCTGTCTTTCCTTTTACCACAACCATAATAACATCTGCCTTTTGCAAATTTTCTCACCCTTCTTACAATGTTTAAAGACAGATAAGCGGTATGGTTGTACGATTATTTCTGAGTAACACAGATGCTCAGCGAATATAAAATTCTTTGAAACCAAAAACCTCAATAGCACACGTGAACGACCTATTAATTACACTTTAACATACGGTTATATATCTTTTTTAATCTTTTATAGTATATCATTTCATTAATTTGCTAATGTAGCGCATCGTTTACGCGTTTTCATTTTTATTACACGAACTTTCTTCGTCTCAGTTATAAAGGATGTGGAACACACACCTGACTTTACCCTTAATTATTTTCGAGAGGTGTCACCAAAGTATAAAAGCGGTTGTAACATCAAAAGGCGTTAAATTATTGGATTTCGATGAAGCGGACACCTGTAGCGTTGCTCAGAAGTGTTACGTATTGCGTTTAACTGGCAATATTTTAAAGACTGGATTTCGTGCATATCGGCAATTACCTCTTCTTTAGCTTTCTCGCGATCGGCAAACCTCTGGGTGTAGGTAAGTTGTTTGCACAACACCATCTATATATATATATATATATATAAAAGCCACTGGGTATCTATAAATTTATATACTTATAGGTGTGTTTATTCGTGCTTCTGAAACATCATTATTTTAACGCATCGATTTATGATGGTTTCGCTGCATTATGTAATAAAAAAAGATTTAAGTGAAAAAAAAATTGTGTGTAAATTTAATTTAGTGCGTTCACTCATTAGTAATTGCTTTTAGGGGTCATTAAACTCAAAACATTCTCTCTAAGCTTATATACGTGGGGAGTATAATAAAACCTCATCAAGGAACCAAACCGTGAAGCGTCATATTCGGTCATTCACGACGCGAAAGAAAAAAAATCTAAAAAAAGAAGATAAATGAGAATCTAACAGATGTAACATATTACACCCCAATCACTAGACTCAGCCACTTGTGCAACTGCCATTATGTTTGCCAAAAAAACTTGCTACAAGTGTATACTCAAAAGGGGCTTATCGTTAATAAAAACCGAACTTGTAAAAAATAAAAAAAAGAGCTCACATGACCGTTTCCCCAACAAGACAAGTGGATGGTAATAATAACCCCTGTACTTGATCGAATAGGGTGATTATTTTCAACCCCATAATACGTTTCGAATGAATACCGCTTAGATTACTCGGGGACATAACACACCACAACCCTTTAACTCCGTGTAATTTTTTTTTATTCACCCATTTGTCCTGTTGAAGGGGTTGAGGGCGTCCAATTGTGAACATGTGGAGTGATACAAGTGAAAAGGGGAATCGTTTGTTAACTTGATTAATTTAAACTGAAACTTTTAATCGAAATAATTTTTTAATAATTACCTTTAAATAAAAACTTTAAACACACCCACATTCTACATTATCCAGTATACATTAATAATTTAAAAAGTTAAATGTCTTTTACATATAATAATACGTTACCATATATCTTAAACCCAGCAAAGATTTTTTTAAGTTCATTAAAGTTCGTCTATTGATTAAAATTAAACTCAAAATGTAATATTAAGTTATTAACCGATCGTAAGATTGTATAGAATTAATACAAATTTGCAAATTGCACTTCTAATTAGTAAGTGATTTGCATAAAACAATGTGTAGTGACTATTTATGGTAAAGCGTTATCGGTTAGTTGATTGGTTTTCATTAGTTTTCTGAAGTTTTGCACCTACACGCTGCTTAACCTTTTTAGTTTCTGCTCTGTAATTAATGGTAGTGATAGTTATCATTAGAATTAATGCAGCACATGGTTGAAAACAAATACTTATTGAAGGGAAAAAGTTTATTGCGATACTTTTTTAATGAAACTATCTTTATTTAAATATAAGTTGTATAAGTTGTTTTTACTTAAATACTTTTATTACACATTGACATTAACAAGAATATTTAACATGGTAACCTTTATAAATATCAATGTTCCTCCACTTAAAATTCCTTCGATTGCACTCTCTCTACTACTGTCATGAAAATGCGTATTTGTTACGTAAACGCAATCTCTAATACATTCCAATTAAAAAAGAGATTCCAATTTATTTTCATAAGGTGAAATAACTCAAAGTATTTTTTTGCGCAACGATCCCCATCACTTTATTTTATTTTTTCTCTTCCAAAGCTCGGTAAGTCGGGAACTGTTGTAACTGTCAGAAATAGGTATGTCCGTGTCAGCGGTGATCCCCACCGAGAGTACCTTGGCGGTTGTCTCTCGTATTTGGCAGCGACTAAGAAGTCAGCAGGAGGCCCCTCGGGTCGAGTCTTTCTATGGGTCGCAGGAACACGGCGTCACGTAGCTCTTGTAAGTTAAAGCGTGACCGAGCCGTGTCAGCGCGAGAAATATCGAGCGTGTCTACCCCACCCAATTTACGGATTTATCATAATTATTATTATTAAAACGGAAAGGGAGGATTACCAAAATATCATTTTATATCGAAAGGTAGAAAAACAAAAAGCTTTTAAAGCTTACCCAAATTTATAACGAATTGATGGATACAAATATGCAAAAAAGATAAAAATGTAATATGAGAATCTCACGAAGCAAGCTGAAAAGGTTTATTCAACGTATGATAGTGATAATTCCAACTAAAATTGTGAAAAGTGTAGCGAAGAGAGGCAATAACAGAATTAGTACAGCAACTTTCGCTTAAAGACGCAGAAACGTTACCGTTAGTTTGGCAATAAGTGCAACAGGTGAATACGATGTTTCCTAAACTGTGAGCAACGACACCGCAAGAACATCTTCATCAAAGAATCTTAAAATTCATAATATTCCCTAGAAAAACACAACTGTGCCGTGGACCATGGATTTGCTGAGAAATCTGCGCAGACATCATTATCTTCTTCTTTTTTGCGGAAACCAAAAAGGCTTCATTCCGCTCTGACTGCATTTCTTCTGACGCGAACGACCAGATATCTTTCCATCTTTTTGGAGTACGTCCTGTCGGCCTTTAACCTGCTGGTCACAGACCAACTTGTATTTCGGAAATTATTTAGAACTGAAGGTGGTTTTTCAATTATAAGGACGAAAAAATTCATTAGAAAATATTAAGAGATTTAATTTAGTTCAAATTGTATTAATGAATCATTTCGGTTACATCCAAAAGCTCATTGTTTGGCTATTTCTATACCGAAATCGATTAAAGGAAGGAATTGGAAAGTTCAATTGAGTTCGGAAACCTATCAGGACGTTTCGAATTCCCGATCTGGAATACCAGGAGTTCAGAATAACCCGGAAGGTAACCAATCGGCCCGACGGCTGGTCGATACGGTTCTGATTATAAGCTTTCTCGTGTCACATTCCTCCAATTCCAATTGAAAATTTGCATTTTTTTTGTTATGACTATATTAAATATTTATATTTTACTTAATTATTCTTAGCAACTTTGCTTAGAATCAAACAACAATAACTACTTGATCCGGTATTTTATTAACTCCTAATTAATACTTCGAGTATTGTGTGTTTCCTTTCACTTTGTCTACATACAAAAAGAACAGAGCAAATTTCCTTTGTAGACCTGCTGGTTGGTCTGAAATCTCTAGCAATCCTTAGCAGCGTTCGTGAAACCTTATCTTACCATATCGTCTGTCTTGAATTTCCTGGCTTGTTCTTTGATTCTATACTGTGTTTCCAGTGATTGAGAGCGATCTCATTGATAATGCTGCATATCAACAACCTTTTGGTATCTGCTGAGTCTGCATATATCTCCGCAGCATATGTCATTATGGCTCTGACGTAGACTTAGTATATTTAATTTACTTTGGTTTCGGTAGATATGCAGTTATATTTCCAGATAGTCGTTCTTATTGCTCTCCATATTCTGGCTGATTTTTGGATTTTTTTTCACATTGCTCTTGAGTTCTTTATAAGACAATATGTCTAAATAAGTAGTTGCCCTATCATGTGGTCGTGCACTTCTATTTTACATCTACGCGGCTATTACCATGAATGAAACGATTTTTGGTGAAAATGTAATGCAATTCTACTATTATTTTTTGAAAATCACTTCTTCCAAATGGCCACCACGTTTATCTAAATATAGTTGAAGCTGTAAATTTGGCTTATCCTTATGATTTCTTGAGTAATGTCTTTTAAAACTCGTAGCGTTTGAGGTCTATTTGTGAAAACAATTCAAGGAAAGATTATAGTAATCTAGAAAAGAAGAGAATACTGGAAGTATTATCTTGTATAATCCGAGACCAACCTCAATAACCAAGAATACTTGGAAGATAATAAAATTGATTAATAAATTGTTTAATGAATGGACACAGCTAACAAACCAGACACCGCAACACATAGTTGATTAAAAACTTCCAATTATGTTAAATACGAGATTGAGTGTAACAAAAAGTTGTTTGTTTTACCAAAAAGAAATAAAGTAATTAATGGCCTGACAGGTTGCTGTAGCAAGCTTTATCTGGTGATATCCAGAAATTATAATCAAATAGGTAAACCACATCAATTTTCAATATGATCAACGAAACAAAATCAAAAGCAGGAAACGTAATAACGTAGCAAATGTAAAATCTGATTACAACAAACACTAAATTTATTATACTGAAAATTGTGAATCCATATCAAATCCAAATAATCGCATTAAAAATAATCGGACTAATAGCATTAAAGTTGTTTCTGGATCAGAGGTGGTACTCTGTCTGAAGCAAAAGCTGAAACCGCTACAAATCATCTAGCTAGCTACTTCAGGAGTAGTAAAAGAAAAAAATTGCCAAAAATATGTCTGCAAAGATGTAAATCCGGATAAAGAACAGGGAGTATAACACTTTGCAGTACTCGATAGGTGGATTGAGTTAATTTTAAACTTAAAAATTTTGAATTGATTTTATCGACATAAAGATGTACGGAAATTCACATGGGTGCAATCGAAGTGGGGATTACGAACAATAATTGACAATCTAATACAAAGACGAAAAACAAGAATAAAAACTGAGGAAGTGTGAAGAAATAGGAAGGTCTTTGGGAAGATCAAGGGTGTCACAAGCATGGAAGGTAGTTAAAAATCAGAAGAATATATATAATAAAAGAAGAAAAATGGAGGGAACATTATAGACAATTGCTTTTAGAAGACAGATTAAAATTCATAGCACGAGTAAACGAGGTACAGATAGATGGCAGTATTGACATTGAATGTATAACAAACAGTGAAGTAAAGAAAGCGCTAAAAGAAATAAAAAACGGTAAAGTCGCGGGGCCTGGAAACATTCAAATTTCAAATATTATGATAGATGTCCAGTAGATATTTTTAATAAACATTTGATAGAGGGATAAAATATTCCAGACGACTGAAACTTGGTTTCATATATAAAAAGGGGAGTAGGAGAGACTGAAGAAACTATCGAGGAATAAGTGTTACAAGTTCGATAGGAAGATTGTACGACAGAATTATAAGAATAAAGTATTGAAATATGGAAAAGGTACGCGCAATTCTGATTATTTATAACAATCCTAAAAACGTAGTCATATTGAGAAAGAAAATGTCTAAACCTTTCTCAGTTACGAAAGTGTTAAGACAAGGATGCTCCCTGTCGCCAACTCTGTTTAAAATGTACATCCAAAAAGTTGGAGACAAAACTGCAGGGGAGGGAATAGAGAGGAAGATGAATAGCCCAAGAGAGCACCAAACTATGTTCCGAAACAGAGAAGGAAAAGAGGAAGGCATGGATAGAAGGAAGAAGAAATGCAATGAAGGACAGAAACATGGATGGTGATTGAAATGTGGGTGCGACAAACTCCGTAGGATGCCTAAGTAAAGAAGAGAGTATTACAGATGTACAGGGTGGCCAAATAAGCGTGCAAAGTACTGTATCTCGGAAACTATTCCTTGTAGAGACTTGCGGTAAAAAATGACTAAAGTGGCTAAGAGAAAATCCTGAAAATTATTTTCATGTTTCTAAGATAACCACTAGGGGGCGCAAAAAAAAGTATGTGCATTTAGTTTAGATAAATTATAGTTTTTTTTGTTAAAGCACTTTTTGCCCTATCTCTAAAAATAAAGTGGTTCGAAAATGTTTGTAAACAAATGCCAATAATTTCAAAATGGCTCAACGGAATTTAATGAGAATGGTAACGTTGAAAAGAGCTTTTTTTGGACTACAAACCCTACCTTCTTTGTGGTGTTTATAATTTGATGTATCGCCATTAGAGGGCATTTTTCAATATTACAATAGAAATTGTGAGTTTTCTTAGAAAAGATAAATCTATTGGTATTACTTTCTTTTCATGAAAAAATAGCAAGATGAAGCCCAAACAAGCTAGTAAAGGTCGCGCCTCGATATCAAGTTGCTAACCTAAAATATCGGTGAAAGAAAATTTAATGGATTTTGATGAGTTGGTCAATCAATTACCGATTTTCTTAGATGTGGTATTGAAAACACGGCAAAAATTGTTCTTATAACTGGACGGTTTTTTGTCCAGCACATTTTAATGGAAATGTGAGAGATTGTCTAAACTCAGTGTTTCAACAGCGATGGATCGAAAGAGGAAGTCTATTTTCATGGCCAGCCAGATCCCCACACATGCGGGTGGTTAATGATGTTTCAAACTCAACCTACAACCAGACAAGACATGGAAAATAGGATTCGGAATGCCATTCACAACCTACCAAGAGTAGAAATTGGATAGAACGTGATGGACGGCAATTTGAGTATTTAAGGAGGCATTAAACAAATTTTTAGAAGCCAGAACTAATTTCTTTAAGGCAATTAGTAATTAGGCAGTAGTAAGGCAAGTAGTAGTTAGTGTTGTAATTATTATGTGTTTAATATTGTGTTTATTTTTGTTAATATGCCAAATTTTCGCTTTAATTGGACTAAAAAACAATAGAATGGGAAATGCTCTCAAAAGTGAGGTGAAGTATCTTCTAAACTAAGGCACATAAAAAACTGATCGAAATCCATTACATTTCCTCATAAAATCTTCTTTCACCGATATTTTAACCTCAAAAAATTCATTTCTTATAATCTAACCGTTTTGGAGAAATAATTTTTTTTCTATAAACTCACATTCAACAAACATCAAATTAAATAGGTGAATATTCCAAAATAATGCATAGAGGCACTCTGATTCTGAATAGTTGAATCCCTTAGTCTTATATGTTACACATGGATGAGTGTAAGTTTTATGGTAAATCGAAGACAATCAATAAAATAAACGGAAAAATACAGTTAGGAATAAGATTCGGAATCGATGAGTGTCGATTACATGCAACGGAATATGTAATGAATAGATGATGGAAGGAATATTTATAGATAGGATTATAAATAGCCAGACTTATATGACCGTATTGTAACGGAATTAAGATCCGTTACAAAATTAGGTGTATTCCGTTAAGACATATAAGTGCTTAAAACATATTTTTAAAAAATAAAATGTTTTAGATCAATCTGACAATCTTGTTGTAGTTGTCTAGTAGTCAAATGATCAGCGTCAGCCACCAACTGAGCGATTTGTTCGAAATCGGACGACTTTATCACGCGGAGAAACGCACCGGGAGCGCCGGCCGCATCGCCACCGAAAATCAACCAACAAAAACGTCTTCTTGAAGATCAGCATAAGTGGTCACGACGCGAAGACCACCGCCACCCGTAGAGTACGGATCTTCTTTAATGCGCGGCCGAAGATCGTGTCCACCACAAGATCTAGATACGACCCAATATAACCAATATCTCGAGGCTTCTTCCTCGATGGAACTACGTCGTTGTCTTCTTGTCCTTTGGGATCTTTCAAAACAACGGGTTGCGTTAATAAGGGGTTTACAAATTGACCGATCATTTCTACCATTGTTAGAACCATACCGAAGATCTTAAATCGAGATCCGTTCGATTCGGCCGTAGGAACTTCCGTTATATTGGCGATTGCTCACGCCTACTACTTTCTTTTATAATTAAACTTGGATCGAGCTTAGGAGACTCATCACGCTTTTACAGATAATATCTAGATTTGTTTTGTACAGTCTTGACTCGTGAGTCTTTTTCAAAGGTCTCGGCTGTCTTTGCCTTGGATTGTATCTCTTTAACCGCAGCAATTAAACGGTTCATTAACGATGAGGTTAATACACAACGAACTTGTACACATTTTTATTATTTTTATTAATTTAATACACAAGATGATGAATTGTATTTCTTATTTAAAGTTTAATAGCCAACTCAAACCTCCATAGCGATAAGAAAACTTGTGAGTTTGAGTGCGGAACATTCAGTTTATTGTCAAGAGACGAAGTGGAAACGAAAACGTCGGTACAGGTGTTAAAACCAATAAAACGGTTCCGTTTTTTCCGCGTAACTTGAGATCCAAACGTTTTGTTACACATCCGAACCCATTATGCAGCTAATAACTATACCGAGAAAGCTTCGTAGGTGTGGATTCGTTACGGGCGGACAAGTAAAAAAGCGGCAAAAAGCTCGTTTTCTTCGGAGCGCCGCCCTGGGAAAGGAAAGCTCCAAGTCGACGCAAAGTTCATTGTCATATCGGTTCGTGTCCGGAACGCCGCGAGACAAAACGGAGCGAACGCGGCCACAATGGGAAATGGGAGTTGTTTGTCAAACGAACGCACGCGAAGTCTTTTAGGAAGTAAGAATGAAAAAGAAAAACAGAAAAAAAAGAAAACAAAATGATGGTTTTCGGACAATTAACTATCTATTTATGTGCACGTTAATTTAGGAAAAAAAAACGTTACTCAAGTACCGTAATCTGTCTTTTACCTTGTTAAAATATCCGGGGCAACGATCCCAAGTTGTTTGTCTACCGTGTTAACCATTTATGGAAACTATAGAACCACTTATTAAGTTAAATTATTTGTTTTTGTTTTTTTTTTTCACATCCAACCAATTTGTAACCAATTTTATTTATGGATGTGATTTCTTCTTTAATTTAAACATGCACGTGTTTTCGTGTGGGAATAAAATGACAAGAAAAGATACGAAATAATACGAAAGAAATTCATTCATATAGTGCACACACAGCTGTGTAGCTACCCTTTTAATGCTTCTTCCTTGTTGATGCGGATGCTGGTGAATCTTTTCCCACGTATTACGTGTGAGGGCATTCGGTCGAAGATGATGTCTCGTATTTTATTGCCATTTTATGTGACCGTTTAATCAACTAGATTCATTTTATAGACATTTTAATAACTCCAGTGTATTAACTAACTGTACCGGCGTTTAATATCGTCGTAAATTCAAAATTAACAAATCGTATTCATCAACGTTAACCTATTATTATTTTTATCTCGATTCAACATTAAATTTTACGTCGTGAGACGTCGTCGTATCGTGTAAATGAGAATGTGAATTTTTCTACACCTGCTAATGTTAGCATGAAAGCGTGGAAGGCAACCGTTCATTAGCAGGTGCAACACCCGAAATTTATAATTAGCAAGTAAACTTGTGTTCGTATACCATGTGTTAACGTAACAATAGGAGGAAATGATTGATGTAATTATTTATATTAGTGTATTAATTAAATTTAGACTTACTTGCATGAACCAGGTTTATCGCATTTTCCGTGGATTGGATGACATCCATTTTTACAAACAGCTGAAAAGAGAAAATAATGTTTTAGTTAATTTTTAATTTACACTAATTCCTAGACGTTAAGTATTACATTAGTACAAATTGAATGTTAGTTGGAAGCTTCCGGTAGCAAGTCTCAGTTAACAAAATTGTAATACTTGAACAAATTTGAAAGGCCGTATAAGTGTGCTAAAATATTATAATCGATGTACGAATGTGTTTCAATCGCTCATAAATATTGATAAGGAAGCAAAAATAAAGCAACGAAAGATAGCACTTCGCAGCTATTGTAAGTAGCTGATAATCTACTTACTACTAGATACTTGCTTATGATCTATTAATTCTGAGCAGGTTGTGAGCCGAAGACAGATACGAGGTAAAGTGACAAATAGATCGTTTGATTGATAACTGTGTGAGTCAACAAAGTCTTCACAAATTTAGACAATGTTCATGTCTTGAATTCGGAACCAATTAAAATGACTTTGCTCGAGAAATTTCATTGGAATAAGATGTTAACATCACTGAATAGGGCATCATTGTTCTTATAGCTGACTATACCTATAACTACTTCATTAGCAATATCCTAAGAATGTCTCATCAGCATTTGTGATTACTTACTGTTAAGCTACTTAAACATGAAAGATATCGACACTCGTCTAGTATCAATAGAAGAGTTGAAAGTGCGTATTAGAGAAGATCTTTACATCAAACCAATGGTACTACGACGAGTAAAACGCAAGACAAAGAGAGTGCAGAATGCATATAAATAAGTATGAATATAAATATGTTCCATCAAATATCATTGTCTTGCTCTCTTCACAAACTTTTCATCGAAATTTTCATGTCATGATAAAATTACATTACAACAGATTTTATCTGTTCAACCTCAACAGAGAAAGCAGAAAACGTAGCCAGAGTTAGAAGAGCAGTTGTAATTCTTGTAGCTAAGTTAAAGGAATTTGGGCAATGGATTTTATAACATATCATTATATTTCGAATACATCCCACGGCTTTCGTGATTCGTTATTTTAAGTCATGTAAATCATTAAGATATAGTGGGAAAAACTTGCCCGATGTACGATCGAGGTTCCTTGGTAGTAAATACGATGCCACAGAGGCGATACTCCATTAAATTGGACAATAAAAAATATCTTATCGTCATACAGTTGAGGTACACTTCCTACACTATCTCCTCGATATCAAATCGGAAAATATTATTCTTGGTATCCCAATACCGCTCACTATATTTTTCAGTCATCATTCAAAATCGCCTTCCTTCATCATAGTCTGACATCATCTCCCAACATTATCCATTAACTTAATTTCTAAGAATTTTCAATGACTCTCATAATCATCATGTAACATCATCTTTAATATTTCCAACATCTTCTAAAATCATTATTTGTAACTCTTCAAAAAATTATGTACATTTTACAATGCAGAGTCCGTCATTGAAGTCATTCCTTGTAATTACTCAATATCCTGTTTAAAGTTACTAAATATCGTTTCTCACCTCCCACAACATTGTTTCTGGTCTCCTCTTTCGACATTATCCAAAACTACTAAATCATTATCATCCAGAGTGTCTGCTAAAGTCATTCCCTATTTGAGTATCGTTTGTGGCCTTCTTCATTGTTGTTCGGAATCATGTTGGGAGATCATCATTGGTATTACGTAATAATTAATTAATTAACAAAGCGGTGTATCATATTCATTACTTGGTCAAGACTTGGAGATAATACCAAAACACTAGAACTATCTTGGACACAACAACAACTAGTGAAAACCTACAGGATTTCAGAGAATGTAAAAAGACCTGTTATGCTTTATGTGAAAAACTAAAACCAGCCGTAATGTTTCAAGTGCAACCAATTGCTTTAGGAAACTTTCATCAATCAAGACGCTGAAGATATTCCAAAATTATATGAATTTTCAATCTGTGATTTTGAGTCCATTAGGTTGGTATTATTAATACAAGATGAATGAAAATCGTCTATGGATTATGCATTATGGATTAATTCTGAATTATTATTGTGCAACCAGAATATTCCAACCTTTCCACTTTCTATGTTATAACTCATTGGGATACCTAAATCATTAAATTTCAACAATTTGAAATATTTGGTCCTTTAGCATGGTAATATTTAATGATAGATATAAATCATTCAAGGATTCTATTTTTTTGATAAATTTCGAATTTTATTTGTACTCAAAAATACTTCCAACATGTTTACTTTTTGAGTAAAAAGAAATTATGGTGTTAAAAGCATCAAATTTGAACAATACATAATTTTGAGTTCATTAAATTGGTATTAATACTAATATTATATATTGATGAATGAATATCATTTATGGATTATGTTTTTTTGATAACTTTAGAATCTTATTTGTACAGAAAAAATATTTTCAAGATGTTTACTTTTTTGAGTTATAAGCCATTATGATGTGAAAACTGTCAAATTTTAACAATTTGCAATTTTGTGTTCATTAGGTTGGTATTAGTACAAGATGAATGAAAATCGTTTATGGATTAATTCGGAATTATTGTTGTAATATTACTTTCTGTGTTATTTATAACTCACTGTGATGCCCAAAAATATTAAATTTCAATGATTTGAAAATTTTGGTTCTTTAGCATGGTAATATTCAATGATGAATATAAATCATTTATGGATTATGTTCTTTTGATGAATTTCGAATCTTATTTGTACACAAAAAATATTTCCTAGATGTTTACTCTTTGAGTTATAAGCCATTATGATCTTAAACCGACAAATTTGAACAAATTGTGTTTTGAGTCCATTAGGTTGGTATTAATACAAGATGAATCAAAATCGTTTATGGATTATGTATTTTAGGCCAATTCAGAACATTATTTGCGCAACAAGAATATTCCAACCTTTTTACTTTCTGAGTTATAACCCATTGTGATTTCTAGCAACATCATGTTTTAATAAATATGGAATTTTTGATGCTTTAGCTTGGTAATAATCAATGATGGATATAAATCGTTTATGGATTATGTTTTCTTGATAAATTTAAAATCTTATTTGTACACAAAAAATATTTCCTAGATGTTTACTCCTCGAGTTATAAGTCATTATGATGTTAAACCGTCAAATTTGAACAAATTGTGATTTTGAGTCCATTAGGTTGGTATTAATATAAGATGAATCAAAATCGTTTATGCATTATTTTAGGCCAATTCAGAACATTATTTGTGCAACAAGAATATTCCAACCTTTTTACTTTCTGAGTTATAACCTATTGTGATGTCTAGCAACAACATGTTTTAATAAATATGGAATTTTTGATGCTTTAACTTGGTAATAATCAATGATGGATATAAATCGTTTATGGATTATGTTTTCTTGATAAATTTCGAATCTTATTTGTACGCAAAAAATATTTCCTAAATGTTTACTCTTTGAGTTATAGGCCATTATGATGTTAAACCGTCAAATTTGAACAAATTGTGATTTTGAGTCCATTAGGTTGGTGTTAACACAAGATGAATCAAAATCGTTTATGGATTATGTATTTTAGACCAATTCAGAACATTATTTGCACAACAAAAATATTCCAACCTTTTTACTTTCTGAGCAACATCACGTTTTAATAAATATGGAATTTTTGATGCTTTAACTTGGTAATAATCAATGATGGATATAAATCGTTTATGGGTTATGTTTTTTTGATAAATTTCGAATCTGATTTGTACACAAAAAATATACTCTTTGAGTTATAGCCATTATGATGTTAAAAACGTTAATGTTAAAATTGGAATGATTTGTGAGTTTTTAGAAAAACGTTTATGGATTATATGTCTTAGGTCAATATAGAATGTTATTTATGCAACAAGAATATTCCATCATTTTTATTTTTTATAGTTATAGTTATAACCCATTGTGATGTCCAAAGACATAGTTTATAGAGAAATTTGTAAACTAATACATATTATAAAACCATTTAAAGATAATCTTACAATAATTACATCATAATAAGTTTAAAAGGTGGAGATAAAATTACGTCAGAATCTATTTTCTTAACAGTTAGTAAGAACAAATAAATAGAATTCCTTCTGGCAAATGCACCTCGATATCTTAAAGGTCACAAATGCCAATATCATATATTAATGTGTGAATATGCAGATTTTATACATTTCTTCGTACATTCTTTAGAAATTCCGTCATTTCGATCGATTTTACTTTTACGAAAATTTCCTTCATTATTTCCTGTTTTAACATTTTTGAACGAAACGTAAAAGTAAATTTCAACAACATTTCGTAACGTCTCTTAAACCGCGCATTGTCTTGTCATCTCTCCATTCTTCCGATGTTGGATTTTTCATATTTCCCTTACGGATCTCCGCTTACGGTATTCGATTGCCGGGTTAATAGCGGGCCTACCCACTGATTCGCCATTATTATTTATATCGCAACTCGAAATTTATGTTACGTAACGGCCGAGGCCGAGGAGTCGATCGCGCACGATCGAATTGTTCTCCGCGGGATAATCGACCAGGTACATTATTGCCATGCCTGTATCGAATGCAAATCGATAGATAGAGACTATCTCTCGAAATTTATAACGTTATATAAGTCGCCGGCACCTTCTCTCTTAAGAGTTCCACGCGGAGTAAAGACACACACCGTGTGCGCGCCGTGATTAATAGTCACAGAACCGGCTACAAGGTAACGAATTAGACATGTCCGTTCTCTTGTTCCATGTCCCAAGTGCCGTGTTTATTGTGGTTCGGACGCGAATTATCTAATTTCTGACACGATGGAATGTACTGCCATCGAAGTAAATTTCTTTCCAACCTGCGTCTCAATCAATCTCAATAATTCCACAAAATCAAAATCTTATTTAACCACCAACGATGTTCAATCACACACCTATATGATTACACCAATTCAAATCCAATACTATAATCATCAAATTACTTTCAAAAAATCTCATCATACAACGACACAATCGAGCGTCAACTCAAAGAATCGCTTTGTCGTTCATTTTGTCGTTAG